ACTGAGAAAAAGTGATGGATCAGAACAAGTTCATCTCGCAGCCAACCGTATATGCTCATTGGTGGGTTCCTCGTCTATTAAAGGTACAGAGGGACGCGCTAACGCTAATGCGTAACGCATAAGGGTTAGCGCCTCAGTCAACTTAACTACAGTGGCATGTGTCTTTAGGTCGGAAGGTCGAGACAAGCAAACTTCATTCTCATTTTTCATATTCGAGGTCCGAGCGGTTGGCTACGTAATGGTCGTGCGTCTCCGCCCATCCGATAAACGTGGAGCGACTTCAAAACCCCTAGGAGTTGAAAATTTCAGTGTCAAACGGTCCACCTCGTGGTCACGCTGTCCTCACGCCGATTACCAACTCATCATCGTCCTCATCTAAATGAGCATACATGGAAGAATTTCTAACAAAAAAAAATACACGGAAAAATCCTCAACGAGCACATATCATCAAGACAGTGCACAAGTAGAGTAACGATAATAAATGAGCATTGTAACATCAACAGTTGCATGGCTAAACTAAGGAGATCATATGATGACATCCCGGTACTCTGAGGAGAGATGGTATGAATAAAATAAATAATTGAAAAAAAACTAAATACGATCTTTCAAAACAACATCATATATTGCTTTTGTAGGCAAGTTAAAACATAATGAAAGACTAGAATGTTCGAGACGAGAAATGAGACGGAATGACAATTTTGTGGATAAAATACACCCCACTACACACGGCTATACCCGGTGGTCATCATTAGCACTATTAATAGATGACTTAGGCGCATTTAAGCGTTACTGAGATTCAATATACAATGAAATCGGTAAGAACTACGGTACAAAAGCGGTATGTGAAGGTACGCACCGGATAAGTTCAGGAAATGTTCGTTCGATCTCGGGATTATAGGAGCTTTACACAGAAACAAACGGCAGAATAGAAACTGGTAGGCCATGGGCAACTAGGTAGGAGATAGCTCAGTCAACACTGAGATTCCGAAAGCGCATTCGTGGCGCCCTGGAGGAGACCGGGAGAGTCGGAATCGGTTTCGCTTCCGTCTGAAAAGGAATCGTAATATTTCAGAGATGTTCAGGAAATAGAAGGATAATTCAAAGGGATTCTTGACAAATGCTGTGGAAATGAATTCTTCTGATGGAATGGGTCACACTTGCACTCCATATCCGACGATGAGAAGGACGTGGCTGTACACTTCATCTGGCGCATGGACAAGACAATCGTAGCCGCGCTATGAGGGTAGCGGGCGACGCAGACAGACGAGTTATCCTGCCTGACCATTTGAATCTGCATGTTCAAGAAAGGGAAAATTCGATTTCGCCCGTCATGGGGCTTTATCTCCATTGGAGTTAGCATGAGCTTCGCAGCTCCAGTCGACGAATTGATGCACATTGGGAAGTTGTAGCGGATCACTGTATGATATGCCGCGCGCGACGACGCGACAAACCACGACTGTCTTTTCGTCTCCCTACGTACAGTCATTATCAGTGAAGTCAGTCGAGCAGAGGAGGGGGAAGAGTGTCAGCGGGACATGGGCTTTGGTACGGCGTCAGCCCCTTTTCCACCGATCGTTGCAGATTCGGTCGTTCAACGAGTGCGGGAAAGGGGTGGCGCCGCGCCAAAACCCACGCGCCGGTAACACACCCCGAACGACTTCAGCGATAACGAATACTGGATGCGCTTCTCGTTCCTTCTCGGATATCTTTATCTGAGATAGTTGTTAGAAATGACAATAGCTCCGAAAACAAAACATCCAACCACAAGCGCAGGCGCTGTCACGTAAAAAGGAGTACACGGCCACATCCTCGCCATCACCCGGATTTGAAGCGTAGGTGCTGAAAACAATGAAGGACGTACGGGAAGGTAGGTTGATAGGTTCACTGGTGAGAAGGAGCGAAATTTCAACATTTACATGATGTTAATAAGGACTAGCAATAGGGACCTAGGAATAGGTAAACAGCATAACAAAAACTCGAATACAAGGGTTGGGCTTCATATGAAAGGTGACTAGATCTTGGATCAATCATTTATCGAAGATAAAGAGAACGAGTTGCGCTGTCGCTGGACTGTCTCCATTTCTACCATCTCACTTTCTTTTATCTTTTATCTCTCTATCTCTTTTATCCCTTATATCCTCTTCTTCATCTACTTTCAATCTCTGTTTGCTCAATCATACTTTCCCCGAAGTGGGATTGATAAGAAGATACATCGGTCATGTATTACCTTTCTTTAATTCACTTTTTTTATGCATTTATTCACTCCTTCATTCCTCCCTTCACTCTTGCGTTCTTCCTTCTTTTCTTCCTAATGTTCCACGCTCGTGCGATATGCAGAGTATGACTTTTTTGAAAGAGAAACCCTCTATTCCATCAATCTTCTTGAGAATCGGGTATATTAGGGGTATGACATGCGGAATCGGAGATGGAAAAAAGTGAATAAAACAGGAAAATGGCATTTTCAGCAAACTCACTCTATGCATGTTATATGTAAGCCTTTCCTGAGTTGAAAAGTGAGAATTGCAAAAAAAGAAGCGCTCAACTTAGCGAAGCTAACGCGATACACTCGAAGAAGTTATGAGAACTCACTGACTCTAGATGGCCAGATTTGTAGAAGTAGCGACAGTGTTGAGGCAGCTTGTGGCACATCCAACGGCCGTAACTCTTTTACTGGCGGTGTTTCGGCGCAGCATAATAACAACGGAGCGAATACCTAGAGAATAAATTCCTAGTGGAAAAAGAAACTCGAGTAAAGAAAGAGGTTTACAGTTGTCAGTCTGGACGGCGTGAGTCCATTGTGTGGTGAAGAGGCCAGCACGGTTGTGAGATGGTCCATGACGAGAAGCAAGGTGTTCTGAAAGACGTAAGGGACTGGTTTGACGGTGCTTTTCCTCAGCGGATTTCGATGAACAAAGCGGAACGATTTGGTCCAACACTGATGAAATTAGGCCCTTATTCTGTTCGTCAATATCTGGATGAGTTAGCCGCCACCATGCCAGCGAGGCAACGTGAGTGCCGCGCTGTACCCTTTTAACGCACGAGTTGGAGCACGAACTGTTGGAGACTACTGGCTATGGGAGTCACATTGAGGTGGAAGAAGAGTTCCGTGAGGCATTTTCAGGAGGAGGAACAGCTGTTGCCGGCGGGTTACATCACCGAATACGTGATATGGCGGTGACAGTGCGACTACTCCCATGAAAATATGTCGGTGTCGGTCAGACTCCCTCAGACATTCAATAGTGCGGAGCGGGCAAAATAATCAGCAATCGTGAGAATTTTACTCGAGACAAAATACGACCCCTTTCGACAGCGCCTCTACACTATAGTTCGCTGCGGACGGTTGGGCGTGTCAGGTGTCAGTATGAGTGTGTCACCCCGTCAAAGCCGTTCTCTGCCTTCTTGTTGAAGCATACGAACGATATAATACAGTCATTTCATTTGGTGAGCTGGTTTGGCACCGCGCCTAACTCATTCCCCGTCTGAGCACTCCCAACCGTTCACGCAGCGATACACACTATATGGGCGCCGTTTATCGACGGGGGAGGGGCATTTTGTATTATAATTGCTTCCGTGGTTCCGGTTTACAAATCTCACTCTGGTAAAACTTGTGAACGCTTGTGAAGCTGGAGCAAGATCGTCTAGCCACTATCCTAAAACAATTCAACTCGAAAAGAGGGGTACCTAGATGGGTTGGCAAATCTATGAAAAGCAGAATGCCCCCCCCCCGTCGATAAACAGCGCCCACTATATGTCCCACTTAACAAAGGTTCAGGCTGACTGGAGACTATGTCTTCTCTGCCAGGCCATTCCTTGACAACACTGGTCGTCTGCCCTCTTGGAGGCCTAACCGCTGTCTAGGGGAAGGATCACGGAGACACTGTCGGGTGGCCCCACGTCCCAAACTGCCGTATCGCCAAAGCGGAACTTAAATGAGAAAATGTTCCGAAAATTACCTTGTTCGGTGGCGCTAGACAGTCAATGATTCGTAGCACAAGTTGCCTGTTTCCTTGAACATCATTTGGGAGTGACACCGTTCCAGCATCGATTAACATCGCATGAATTTGCGGTGGGATCAATGGTTCTGGCAGTTCACGGAGAAAATCCTGGAATTTCCCATACTTTTTCGTGTCCTTTCAAACAAATAAATGGGGTGATCCCTCGAGACCAACCTTTATCAGGCACGCCAGAACATTCGTATCAGGCACACTGTCCGTAGTCAATTCACAACCTAAAGGATTGGCTTCCAGTTCGTCTCGTAGTACACGCTTCTTCTCGACTGATCCACATACTGTAAATGAAAAGCGGTTAACTATCAGGTGCAAATCATCCAAGTAGCAAAAAGTTACAAGATGGTAAAGGACGAAGAATGTAGCTTTTGGGTTGATGAATCATTTGGGTTGGGATGCACCGAAACACTTCAGTCTCATTTTGAATAATAGAGGCATTTTAAATACGATATAAACAGCGGCCTATACAAAGAACTGCGTAGTCAGACGATGTGGAAGTTCGCGTTTTAAACTATACTCACCCTTCCCCGATCTCCCCCACCCCTTCCAGACCAATTTGGCACCAGTGAAACGACATCGGATGGGTACGGCACTGGGGTGATTTGTTTGGGAACTGACCCTCATGAGTACCTTCAATATTGAGCGGTGCGGTCTACAACCGTCCTCTCGGCCCTAATTTTAGACGAACGTTCTTATACAGAAATGGGACCAACAATGCCAGCAC